ATTTTCCTATGAAAGGTATCACAAGTAAAGGTATCATAGAAAAATTTGTTATGTTATAGTGAGGAATTTAAAATGAAATATCAATAAATGTATATAGGCTTCTAGAGGCAGTCAGGAAAACCTGTTCCCCAGTTCATCTGGTATTATCCCAGACACTGGGCCTGACAGCTACTTATTTTTGTTCTCTAACTGATCACCATCAAAGTTTTAACATCAGAAAACAAAGTGATAAAGAAAATATATAAGATTTTATTGGACGATGTGATGGTTGATAAAATGGTGAAAAAAATATGATTATATGAGCCCAGAATATAGGTTGTAATATTAATTTTGAAGAGTGGGAGCAGATTTGGCTGAAAAATTATAAATTAACTAATGCTGTGTCATATAAAGAGAACATGTATAAGATCTTTTATAGATGGTGTATTACACCAGATAGATTAGCTAAACAAAATAGTAACTGCTCTGATAAATGTTGGAAATGTAAAAATAAGATTAGCTCTTTTTATCACATGTGGTGGTTATGTGATGTTACAAAGAGGTATTGGAGATGGATTCATGATAATGGAAAAAATAACAAGAATATCCCATTTACTCCAGAGATACTGTTATTGAATATATTTCCGAAAGACTTTGATAAAGCAGATAGGTATTTGATAGTTCACATGTCGACAGCTGCAAGGATAGTATATGCCAAATATTGGAAAATAATGGAAATACCAACGAAACAAGAGTACGTGAACAAACTATTTGAAACTGCGGAAAATGACAAACTGACACTTGAGATGAGAGCCAGCACAGAATGGACTTTTCAAAAAACGTGGAAGAGATTCTATTATTGGTATAATGTAAACGCAACTGATAGATAAATGTAGTAATTTGAGAACGCAGAAAAGATAAGCTTAGTAAAATAATGAATTTAGAAATTTAATAAGCAGAAGAAGTGATAAAAGTCTCTTGTTATATGTTATATATTGTTGGGGGTAGTTGGGTGTTGTTTGTATGTATGTTTGTAGTATATAATGTAAAAAAACAATAAAAGTGTACCCTCTGGTACTTAAAAAAAAGACTCGGGGGAAATTTCTGGACACCCTTCTTTTTACATGGCATGGTCTATCTGAGAGTATCAAGGTCTAGTAGCTACTCTCGGGGCAAAACGCTTCTATAACTTTTAATGTTGCTGTTTTCTTCAGTCTGTAATTTGAACCAGGGAAACTATTAATTGATCAGTTCTTTTTTTGTTGGCTGTTCGACAGCCATAACTTTGATGTATTGCTAAATTTTAATGTTATCTTATCTCTTACATGCCAATAAAGGTTGTCTGTCTATACTTAACTTTAATTGTTTTCAACATTTTAGGCAGAAGCTCAGCTTAACAGGATACCTTTAAAAATATTGTTTTAAAATATTTTCTTCCATACACACAGCTTTCCTTCAGTCACTCAGCGAAGATCTTTGTGGCTGTGATGGCAGCTGTTGCTGAAACTTGTGGGCTTTTTAAAAAAATCTGTACAGCTCATCAGATCTTCAATACCTAATACCTGACACCCCACCTGGCTCCTCCTATTTTCTAAAAATATTTGCTGGGCACCAGGAAAGATGATGGTGAGTGCCACGTCGTAGGTGCCATGCTGGGGAGTGGCGAGTTCTCTCTCACTAGAAGTTTCCAAGAATCTGGACAGTTATCTTTCAGAAATGATCTAGCTCAGGGGTGTCAATCATGCGGCCCAGGGGCCGGATCAGGCCCCCAGAGGACTTCTATCAGGCCTGCACTGGAACTGGCCATCTCCTGCTTCCAGTTCTGTTGCTGCTGCTGCCATCATAGCTTGCTTCACCAGACTCTCTCATTTCCCCTGGGTCCTAGACTCAGAACTCTGAGCATTAGATTTCTGTGTTGAATGTCAATAAATCAAAAGGTTTGCAGCTTACAGATACACACTTGAACAGCATACTCAAGAATGCAACAGCACAGACATTTTGATGCAATAATTCAGAGCAAGTGGTGTCAGTTATCAGATACTGTTAAATAAACAAAATATTGCAAGAGTGCTAATGTTTTAAGCATGTTTTTATTTTGAGTGGGGAAAAAATATTTGTGTTTGTGTCCATTATAAAGTTTACATCTGGCACCTGGCATTACACCTAGTATTACACCTGGCATTACACTTTATGACACACGTGGCCCGGCCCAACAAGGTCTCATTTATGTCAGATTTGGCTCTCATAACAAATAAGTTCGACGCCCCTGCTCTAGCTTTAGATTTCTGCACTGAACTGGGGGATGGACCAAGTGGCCCCTAAGAGCTCTTCCAGTTCTAGGATTTCTAGAAACAGTCCATAGCCAGGCCCAAGCATCTGTGTGGTTTGTTGCTAAGATCCAGTACCTAAAAAGTGCGCTGGTCTTGGCTCTGAAGAGTCCCTTTCATTACCGTGCCTAATAGCCATAAGTAGTCCTATCCTCCAAGAATGGATCTAAATCCCCCCCCAAAAAAAAAATCTAAGCAAACTGTTGTAGCTACATTTTGTAGCAACACTTGAACACATGAAACTACCTTGTACTGAATCAGACCTTTGGTCCATCCAAGTTAGTACTGTCTACTTAGACTGTCAGGGGCTCTCCAGGATCTCAGGCTAAGGTCCTTCACATCACCCACTGCCAGATCTTTTAACTGGAGATATCAGGGATAGAGATGTGAAGGCCCCGAAAAAAACCGGAAAAATTCGGGGGGGGAAACCGTTTCCCCCCCGTTTTTTTCCTGAAGCCTTTTTGGGTTTTTTCCGAAAAATTGGAAAAATTAAAAAAAGAAAAGAAAATGAAAAAAAATGATTATGGAACGTTTTATTTTAACATGATGAATAAAATATTTTAAGACAAGGTGTTAAAATATTTTTGAAATCATTTCTAAAATATATATATACTAGAAATAAGGCCCGTTGTGGAAATAAATACAAGAGCTAGAAAGAGGCTCTGGGAGAGTGCTCTGGCTTTGGGCAAACAGTGTCAGTCTGCTTTTAAAAGATGAACCTGGGACCTGCACACCACCAGAATACAGCAGGTTCCATATGCAACTGACATTCCAACTGCCTTGCGGGGGGGGGGAGTTTGAGGTGTGGAATGGAGTGAAGTCCAATCAGCTTCCATATGCAAAAGACCAGGTTGTCGCAGCAGTTGTGGTGTGGGCGGGACCCTGGCTTTGCCTTCTGATTGGTGGCGATATATGCTGAGGAGCAGCGCCATCAGCCATACACTAAGGGAGTGCATTTTAGAATTAGAACTTTGGCACCCACTATTCAATTATATATAAGGAGAGATGGTATCAGATTGATCTAATTTCTGTGCACTGAGGACAAGCAAGTCCTAGGTTACAAACTGAACTCTCCAATGCAAGAACAAGACGCATTTCTTCCTTTAGGAGGTGCGATTGTCAGAAGAAAATTAAAAGGTTTCAGTTTTGTTTTTGCATGTGGGTGGGTATTCTGTTTGTAATAATTGTTTGGATACACTATATTTTTAATATGCTACTTGTGATAATTTCATGCCAAGTAAAAGTGTCCATAGTCATATTTTATGTTTCTAAAGTAACAGAATGACTTTCAATCTAGAAAAGACAAAAGAAATGCTAATGTAGCATTTTTTTCAATTTTTCCGAAAATTTCCGTTTCCCCCCGGAAAAAAACGGGTTTTTTTCTGAGCTTCAAAATTTCCGGAAATTTTACATCCAGGGATTGAACCTCGGACCTTCTGCATGCCAAGGAAATACTCTACCACTGAGCCACAACCACTCCAAATTCCAAAAGTTGTTCAAGGATAGAAACAGCATGTGGCTCAGAGAATAATGTCTTTCTGTGCGTGCTCTTCAATCTGTTCATCATTCCATAAACTTTCTCACTTCTGCCTCTCAAATTATAAAATCCCATTTTTTTCCTCTTTTTGGTGAGGAAAATATTTTAATACCTTGGTAATAGTTAGATTCAGGTGGGTAGCCATGTTGGTCTGGAGTACCAGAACCAAGTTTGAGTCTAGTGGCACCGTTAAGACCAACAAAGTTTTTCATGCGCAAGCACACTTCTTCAGATACAGTGAAACAGAATTTCCTCAACCACTACATATGGAGAGAGGGTGGGGGGGTTAAACTTCATTGGTATTAAAGGTGCCACTGGACTCAGACTTGGTAATAATTAGCCATTTTCCCCTCTCGTGACATTTTGTTGGTAATTGGGTGAGAGGTGAAAACCATACACATTACTCTACATGTGGGCAAGCTATAAATATTATTTTCAGTCCTCCCACTCCCCTGCCCCCGTGCATTACTTTGTACTTAATTTACATTTATTCTCATTTGCCTTTTTATTACACCTCGAAGAGACCCTGCTGCTGTCATGCAAAGGATCTGAAGCTCACAGAGGGGGTCTCAAATGCTCTAGGAGCATCACTCTTTTTCCCAGGGAAAGGGGCCATAAAATGTGCAAAAACAAAAAAAAGCAACCTGCAGAGTTGCTCATACAGGGCACAGTTGGCATCTACTGAACTTCACTGCTGCCCTGTGTGATCCTGAGCAAAAACTAGACGATAGCATAAATACATTTTTTAAGACTCACAGTTTTGTTTCACAGACGAAATTGTTACTACATCATTGGCATGAAAGCTAACACTTGAATAAGTTCTCTTTTACCTAGATCAGAATGTGAACTGGACACATTATCAATCATCGGGCAAAGGGAGCTTTGAGTCTCAAAAGCTTTTACCTCAAAAATCTTATTGGTGCACTTGGACTCGAATCTAGCTCTTCTATTGTAGAAGAGCTGGCTACCCTCCTGGACTTATCCATCATAAGTCCCCAAAACTACACCAAGTCACAAATATCAACACCTCTCTCAAGCCTATTAAAGCAGCATGGCAGTAATGTCAAAGTATCTGGAGCTATCATTAAAAGCTGGCAAAATAAAATAAAAAATTAAGAACGTTAAGGGTAGCCATGCTTGATCAGACCAATGGCCCATCCAGTCCAGTCTCCTGTTTCTACATATTCGATGCACAATATTTAGTTCTTCTACCTGAAGTTATACAGATGTCACTGAGGAAGGTGTCCCAAAACTGTGGCACAACCACAAAACAGGCCCTGCTCCTCACATACTTGCAACGATGGTCCCTGGAGCAGAATGTTAGACGCTTGGTTTTGCCTGGTGAGAGAGGGTCAAATGGATTTTTAACACGCAGCAGTTCCAGCTGAAGATTCTCTCACCTGGGTCTTATATGGTTTTTTATTTCATTCTGAGAGCCCATTATATTGAGAAGTGAGTTTGAGTAGAAAGGATTTTTCCCGTTAATGTTAGGATGTTTGTGGTCCCTCTCTTGAATGGATATTCAAGTTGTGTGCTTTGAGTGAAGATATATCCATAAGCATTCATATGGTTTCTGACCTGGATAGATTTCTGATGTTTAATCAGGTTTGGCACCAGAGAGATGGATTATTTGATGCTGAGTCAGGTGTCCTCTTAGTCTAAAGCTCTTACCACACTCAAAACACTTAAATGGTTTCTCCCCTGTGTGAATTCTTAAATGCTGAATGAGGCTGGATTTGTGGGAGAAGCTCTTGCCACAGTCTGAGCAGGTGTATGGTTTCTCCCCGGTGTGGATCCTTCGATGTTGACTAAGGCATGTCCTCTGACTGAAGCTTCTTCCACACTCAAGGCATTTATACGGTTTCTGCCCTGTGTGGATTCGGAGATGTTGAATAAGGCTTGATTTATGGGAGAAGCTCTTGTCACACTCTGAGCAGCCATGCGGTTTCTCTCCCGTGTGGATTCTTTGATGGCGATTAAGGTACGTGCTCTGACGGAAGCTGATTCCACACTCCAAGCATTTAAATGGTTTCTCCCCTGTGTGGATTCTTTGATGTCGAAGAAGACTTGATTTATCCGAGAAGCTCTTGCCACACTCTGAGCAGCCATGTGGCTTCTCTCCCGTATGGACTGTTTGATGTTGACGAAGGTGCGCTCTCTGGCAGAAGCTCTTTCCACATTCCAAACATTGGAATGGTTTCTCTCCAGTGTGAATTCTTAGATGCTGAACAAGACTTGATTTATCAGAGAAGGTCTTGCTGCAGTCTGAGCAGCTATGTGGCTTCTCACCTGTGTGAATCCTTTGATGCCGATTAAGGTAGTTGCTCTGTCCGAAACTTTTCCCACACTCCATACATTTGAACGGTCTCTCTCCTGTGTGAATTCTTACATGTTGAACAAGGCTTGATTTATCAGAAAAGCTCTTGCCGCAGTTTGAGCAGCTAAATGGCTTCTCTCCTGTGTGAACTCTTTGATGCTGACTAAGATATGCGTTCTGACTAAACCTCTTCCCACACTCTATGCACTCATATGGTTTCTCTCCTGTGTGAATTCTTAGGTGTTGAATGAGGCTTGACTTATGAGAAAAGCTCTTGCCACAGTCTGAGCAGTTGTGCGGTTTCTCCCGCGTGTGTATCCTTTGATGGCGACCAAGGCACGATCTCCGAAAGAAGCACTTTCCACACTCCAAACATTTATGATTCTCTGTTCTCTGGATTCCTTGATATCCATTAAGAGCAAAACCTTCCCCACATTTATTCTTCTTTCCACTACAAGTTTCCCATTGAATGTTTCCAACATTTTGATACCTTTGTGACGGATCCTCCTGCTTCTGTGTCCCTTTTCTGTCCTGCATATTTATTCCATCTTGATTCCTCAGGCTGTCTACTTCCTTGGCTTTTCCTGATGACAGCCTCAGTGTTTCCCCCTCATTCCTGTACTCACAGACATCACCTGCAGGAACAAGAGAAACCCAATGAGAGTAGAAAGAACAAAATCAACAACAGATCAGGGAATAAATACTTGTTGTTAAGGGTTATAGGTTTTTTCTACAGAGCCAGTTTGGTGTAGTGGTTAAGTGCTCAGACTCTAATCTGGGAGAACCGGGTTTGATTCCCCACTCCTCCACTTGCAGCTGCTGGATGACCTTGGGCAAGCCATAGTTCTGGCACAGCTGTTCTTGAAAAAGAGCCATTTCTGTCAGAGCTCTCTCAGCCCCGCCTACCTCACAGGGTGTCTGTTGTGGGGAGGGGAAGGGAAAGGAGTTTGTAAGTGGCTCTGAGACTCCCTTGGGTAGTGAAGGGCGGGGTATAAATCCAATCTCTTCTTCTTCTTCTATAAAAATGCACTGTTTTTAAATCTGAGGACTTAATGCAGAATAGAAATGGAAGACAGAGGCAGGGGCGCAAACTTTTCCCTTCCCTGGGAACGTCTGCCACCACCTGCAAATATTCTGTAAGCAAACCTCCTGTGCTGTGTAGAATTCCTCCATAGTGGCAGTTGTAAGCTGTGCATTTGCCAAATTTGGCATTTAGGGATGTGTACTTCTCTGTGCACCAAACACGAGGATCCGGGGTTTCAAAACAGTCGCTTCTGAGACTTTGAACCTCTTCTGGGAAGAGGCTCCCATTTGCCGGGGTTCCACTTAACTATCCGGGACAAACGAAAGGCTAGGGCGATTTGGCCCCAGCTCTGCCTTGGGCATCAACGGGAGCTGACTTTGGCACAGAACCAGCTGAACGCTACCCTGGGGCTGCATGAGCCTCACCTCTCTGGGACCTCCCTCCAGGTTGTGAGGAGAGCTAAGGAGGGGCCGTGGCTCAGTGACAAAGCATCTGCATTACGTGCAGAAGGTGTCAGGTTCAATCCCTGGCATCTGCCTCTGCATAGCAGCCCATCCAAGTACTAACCAGGACCCAGCAGGCTTAGCTTCTGAGATCTCCCAACATCAGGCTTGCCTGGGCAATCTAGGTCAGGATGGAGATTATCTAAAGCAGGGGTGTCGAACTCATTTGTTATGAGGGCCGGATCTGACATAAATGAGACCTTGTTGAGCCGAGCCATGTGTGTCATAAAATGTAATGCCAGATAGCGGAGATATAAACTTTATAAAGGACACAAACACAAACTTAAAATAAAAACATGCTTAAAACATTAGCACTCTTGCAATATTTTGTTTATATAACAGTGTCTGATAACTGACACCTCTTGCTCTGAATTATTGCATCAAAATATCTGTGCTGTTGCAATCTTGAGTATGCTGTTCAGGTGTGCATCTGTAAGCAGCAGCAGAACTGGAAGCAGCAGCAGAAGACAGCCAGTTCCACTGTGGGCCTGATAGAAGCCCTCTGGGGGCCTGATCCGGCCACTGGGCCGCATGTTTGACACCCCTGATCTAGAGCTACCTTGCTGAAGACAGTATATTAGTTATATGAGGCCATCATTAAGCAATGTTTCCAAACACTTCATCCTATATTTCTCTATATTTAATGCTAGAACTCTTTTTTTTTTGTATTTTGTGGGTGTGTGTATGAGAGAGAGAGAGAGAGAGAGAGAGAGAGAGCGCACCTGGAAGTCATGGTGACCTCTGGTGACTGGCCCCTACTGGGGGTATTCAGAGAGGTGGCTGAATAAAGCCTGCCCCCTCCTCCCAACTGCTGGTATTCCAAGGAAGTCTCCCATCCAAGTACTTGCCAGAGTTGACCCTGCTTAACTTCTGAGATCTGATGAGATCAGGCTTGCCTGAGCTATCCAGATCAGGGCTAATGCTAGAACTTTTAATACACTATGAGATAATAATTAATTGCTCCCACAAGCCCAACAGCGCAATCTTAAGTGGAGTTACACCCCTCTAAGACCATTAAAGGGTTATATTTGGATTGTTCAGTCTGTCTCAGCACAGATACACAGAAGCAATCCCTGGCATCTGCCAGAGGCTAAAGAACTGTGAGCTGGCTCACACTAACTCAGCTTAGAGGGAACACTGGTTGTAAGAAGTTGGACGTGATGCGAACACTCAGAAGCGTCATACGGTACGCAAGTACCCAAACACTCCAGTCTTTTTGCCTCCTGGCCTTATTCCGGCATGCAGCCACCAGGTAAGGGCTCCTTTGCATGTAGACGGACCTTAAAATCCTGCCTAGCCAGAAGCCAGGATTTCTTTTTTGGCTTGTGGGGCTGGATAATGTAATATCTGTAAAGGTTGTTCCCTTTCTAAATTTGTTCCCTGAGGACTTAGTACTAAATGCAAGTTAAATATTATACAATTGGCCCATTTGGTTCTTCAACTCTCACTGGTGTGAACAGGTGAGTTTCCTATTGACATCCTTGCTGACAGCCAGTATTAGTTCGTACTTTGAACAACGATCAGCGAAAGGAAAAAGGGGTCCTTACCCAGAGAAGCCACCATCTCATAATTCTCCAGCATGACCTCCCAGTAGAGATCTCTTTGGCCCAGATCCAGCAAAGCCCATTCCTCCGAGGTGAAGTACACAGCTACCTCCTCAAACATCACCAGTTCCTGGAGTAAAAAACAGGCTTACTTCCTTATTAATCATCATTACGCAGGGGGTGATTGGCACCTGCCCTTCCATTCCCAGTGTGCTGTTCTTTGTGCAGGGTGTCAAGCAAAGATCCCCAACCAATGTTCCCTCCAATCCCCCCCCCCCAACTGAGCACAGCACTTCACATCCTGAGTGGAATATAACTGCTGTAATCTTAAAATGTTTTGGAAATATGTATGTTGCAAGGTCTAAAATCCAGTCATTATAGGGTTAAATGTGTGTTTACCTTGTGTGCTATTGTTTAGACTGACCTGGAAGGGAACCTGGCACAGAGCCAATGGAAACTGAAGCCTATCTACTAACAATCATTGGTTAATGCATTCAGCTGATTTCCTTCTAGGAGTCAAGAAGAAGAATCTCCATTGTTGTAGACCGTCAAACCGTAAAGATGTAGTCTTAGGTGTCTTTGTTGTTTTGCAGATTTCCTGTGAACCCTTCCCTTAGAAATAAAGATTTTTACATAGAAGAAGAAGAAGAAGAAGTTTTTCAAGAACAGCTCTTATCAGAGCTACGGCTTGCCCAAGGTCATCCAGCCAGGTGCAAGTGGAGGAGTGGGGAATCAAACCCGGTTCTCCCAGGTTAGAGTCCGCACACTTTTTTTTTTAATTATTTAAAAATATGACAAAATTTACATTAAAAATAACTTCAATAATCCCCCGGGTTCCCCTCACCCCCCCATAATTAAAAAAAGGTTCATATAAGCTACTTTATAAAACAACAAGGATCTAACTGAATAAATTACTATAACTACACTCCACAGAACAGACTGTAGACCTAACATAAGGCTAATCAGAGATTTATCAGGTCCAAATTATCAGCCGTAGCGGGAATCACAGCTTGCGACTTCAGGTAGTCTAGGATTGGTGCCCAAGTATGAAACAGTCGTGATTTATAGGTGGTATGTGTTTCAAAGTCCGCACACTTAACCACTACACCAAATTCCTTCTCTCCAGTGAAGCAAAGATCCATTGCAATCTTTGAATATTTAACTATTTTGCCAATTTTTCCAACAAAATGGGCAACGGGCTATGCAAGACCCTGCATGGCTCTATATTGCTGCTGAGCGAGCCTCTTTGCGCTAATGAGCGGCCGCTCACACACACACAGCTTAGAGGGAACAGTGTCCCCAACCCTTTTTGAGCCTGGGGGCACCTTTGGGATTCTGAGACAGGGGAGTGGGCACCGCGACAAAATGGCTGCTGCAGAGGCTAGGGTTGCCAAACCCCCCCCCCCGGTTTGCCAGGGGTCCCCTGTTTTGGGGGGGTTCTACCCGCCCCCAACACCCACAGCCACCCCTCTCCCTTCTCTCTTGAGAGAGAGGGGTGGCTGCCTTTAAGTGCATAGAGCCCGCATTTCGTCCCAAGCCCAATCTCCGCTTGAGATCAGGCTTGCAAGGAAATGCCAGCTCCATGCACTTAAAAGGGAAACGCTGGCTCTCTGCTCTTAAAGGGGAAACGCTAGCTCCTTTAAGTGCAGGGAGCTGGCATTTCTGGAGATCGGGCACGTGGGCGGGCAGGTGGCGGACGTCCCCAATGTGACATCATCACGTCGGGGATGCCCCGCCCCCTCCGGGAACGCCCCCAAAGTCCTCCGCTGGGGGTGGAAGATGGACTTGGCAACCCTAGCAGAGGCACTCTCCTACATTTCAAGCAGAACCCGTGTGTAACGGGATGCCTTTTAAAATGGACACATTGTTTTAAAACTGTTATCTGGAATCCACATGGCTTACAGTGAAGATCCTTGTGCTGAGGTGGTAGCAGCTACCAAAGCCACCTTCAGAAAATCTGCTCCGACAACCAGATCTCCAACAGCCAATCAGAAGCCCTGCTCGGCACAAGCCCCACTTGGCCCCGTACACTTTCTAAAAAACACTTGGTGGGCCCCAGGAAAGGTAGTGGAGGGTGCCGTGGTGCCCTCCATGGGCATCATGTTGGGGACCCCTGGTGTCAAGGTTCTGGAGATGCGCTCGCAGGAGCCTCCCTTCTTTCACAGCAGCTGCATGAACAATCTGCAGACCCCGAAGCAAAGAGGAAAGAGTTTCTTCCCCGAGGAGACTCATCAAAGTGCCTCTGGCACATCATCCCTCCTACCTGAGCTGGCTGCATAGCAGCTGTTTCTGCTCCTGGGAAACGAAGGGGTGATCTCAGCTGCCTCTCGGACATTAGTCCACTACCTGCAAAGGGAGCAAAGATGGTCCAGTGAATGCCTATTGTCACCTAACATCAGGTGTCCACCAACTGGCCTCTCTGCTGCAACCTGTTATACTGCCATCGAGATCTTTATGGTTTGGTTGCAGCCCAATTGCTCCCAGCAAGAAGGAGGAGGAGGAGGAGGAGAAGTTGGATTTATATCCCGCCCTTCACTCGGAGTCTCAGAGCGGCTTACAAACTCCTTTCCCTTCCCCTCCCCCACAACAGACACCCTGTGAGGTAGGCGGGGCTGAGAGAGCTCTCCTGAGAACTGCCCTTGAGAGAACAGCCCCGGCAGAACTATGGCTTGCCCAAGGTCATCCAGCAGCTGCAAGTGGAGGAGTGGGGAAATCAAACTCGGTTCTCCCAGATTAGAGTCCATGCACTTAACCGCTACACCAAACTGGCTGAATGTGTAATCTGTTGCAATGCCTCACTTTTAACTGTTTGTATTGTTCTCTGGTATTTATTTCTTTAACTGTTTTAATGATTGTAACTTATTGTTGTGACCCACCCTGAGCCCGCTTGCAGGAAGGGTGGGATATAGTTTGAAATGAATGAATGAATGAATGAATGAATGAATGAATGAATTAACATCTCAATCTTGTAATAAACCTGAGTTTGGGCTGTGCCTTTTCAGAATGCAGTCAGGAATATACATGGTGGAATACTGGTGCAGAGCCAGTGTGCAGTGGTGGTTACGGTTGAAAGACTAGGATCTGCAACAGCCGGGTTCAAACCTCCACTTGGCCACAGAAGCCTGCTGAGTGACCTTGGGCCAGTCACACTCTCTCACCTGTTTACCTACCTCATAGGGCTGTTGTGAGGATAAAATGGAAGAGAAGGATTTAAGTTGGTTTGAGTCCCCATTGGGGAGAAGGGCAGAGAGTAAATAAAAATAAGTAAAATATTGCTTCATTAAAAAAAAACAACAACCCTGCAGACACAGAAAGGTAGTGTGAGATTAATTAAATTTTTGATATCTTTGGAGGGCAAAGGATGACCGCACACAAGAAGACATCAAGTCTGAGACATTACGGAGTAAAAAAACAGTGCAAACTGTATTATCTAAATTACATCAGTTACTCATGAAATAAACCCATGAGTATAGTTTAACTTGGAAGGAGAAGAGAAGAAGAGGAGAGATTGGATTTATACCCCGCCCTTCACTACCCAAGGGAGTCTCAGAGCCACTTACAAACTCCTCTCCCTTCCCCTCCCCACAACAGACACCCTGTGAGGTAGGTGGAGCTGAGAGAGCTCTGACAGAAACTGCTCTTTTTCAAGGACAGCTGTGCCAGAACTATGGCTTGCCCAAGGTCATCCAGCAGGTGCAAGTGGAGGAGTGGGGAATCAAACCCGGTTCTCCCAGATCAGAGTCCACGCACTTAACCACTACACCAAACTGGTTGGAGTTCAGAAGTCACCATAGTTAAGTTAAGAATGATTAAAAGATAGCTAGGTGCCACGGAAAGTAAAGTGGATGTTTCCTAGAACAGAGGAAAACATCTGGAGTTGTTAACTTATCCAAATGAAACTTTCCATTTATGTGGTGGGCATTTGCAGACAACCGTGTCTTTTGGCAAAGACTAAGGTGAATTTGGCAAATTATCTCCATGACTAGCTACTGTTATTCCCATGGATCTGGTATTCATGTTCAACTAGTTATTTGAAAAGGTCAAAAGGCCATACAAGATTTGATTTAGTTTGCTGGCTGCTGCCAAATTACTGTTAATATCTTGGGTCTTTAAATTTTGCCGAATACTGAAGTCAGTAGTATTTCATACTCCACTTTTCTCAATCTTAAGGAGTCTTATTTTTTTATTGCATTCTCTTTTTCTTGTGCACATAGCTTATTTTTTTATTGCATTCTCTTTTTCTATTTTTGAAACGGGCATATTTCTGGCTTCACTGGACACAGAGAGGGGGGAATGAGTTATTCAAGGTGCTGGAACTGTTCCGAAGCCACCCCAGAGAGCCTTGCGCTCTGCTGATCACCCTCTACTGGTAGTTCCTGGCCCAAAAGACCTCCGCTTAGCCTCGACCAGGGCCATTGGCCTGAAACAGCATGGGTTATCTTATGTTCTTGGAATCAGGGGCCACCCCACTCCCTTTCTTTTGTTAAGGACTATTACAAGTGCCTTATAATTATGAGCGGATCATGCTTGCATCAGGATGGTCATCCTTAATAAAGACCGTAGGCTCTGTTAGCGGAAGGAATTGGGTGACTTTCTGTCCCCAGAGATGTTCTTGGAAAGGGGGCGGGGCTGCCTAGCCAATGCTCTCCCCGAACACTTTTAACGGAGTCCTTTAACAAATGCCCACAAGGCAAAAGTTTATCGGGAGGGGGCCGTCTCCTCCTCCACGAAAAGCTTCCCTGCAAAGTCCGTGGGCGTCAGGAGGATCCTGAGGAAGCAGGAAGAGAAGTGGGGGGAAGGAAGATGCCAGGATTTATTTATTTTTTAAAGATCTGGGGCAAAGTCAAAGGGCGGGTGGGAGTCGTATTCCTTCAAGGCACTTCTTGGGACTGTTTTCTCAATACCCCGTTTCCTGTAAATATGCAAAGCTGGGAGTGCTGCAGAAGAATAATCCCATTTGGTCCGGAACTCGGAGAGGGACGGGCGGCGCTATGTAAGACAACCGCCCTTTCCTTCCAGGGGACGAGCAGAGCTGCCCTTCCCAGCACGGCACGGGGGGGGGGGAGCACGGGCCCCCCCCCCCGGGCCGGGTGAGGCTCCAGCTGTTCTTACTCACCCGCCTCCCTCCGAACAGGGGAATGCACAAAGCCACGTGGGCGGAAAGGGAATTACAGGTTTGCCGCTGCCTTCTAGGACTCGCCACTCTGTGGTTTTTTTAACCCGTCGTGCCAGAGCCGGCGCTTTTCCGCAGGCGATCTCCCCTCTGGGGCCTGTCCCTCTACCCCTCCCGCCTTCTGCGCCCAGGATCCAGGCGGTAGCCAGACACCAGGTCCGCAGTCTCAAGACCAGCTGCTGAAACGTTACCCCCCCACCCAACACACTGCTATTCACAGACAGCCCTCCCTCCAGTCTTAAACAACTCCCTAATCCAACCTCTGAGTCCAGTGGCACCTTTAAGACCAACAAAGTTTAATTCGTGCATACGAAAGTTTGAACCCAGGATTAAACTTTGTTGGTTCTGAAGATGACACTGGACTCAAACACACGCTACCCACCCGAATCTATCCTTAACCCGATTTTAGCTATATTTGTTGCCAGGCCTGGGTTCCTGCTGGAGCACACTGCCAGTCAGGAGCCCAGGGGGGGCACATAAGCCCCGCCCCTATGTTGAGCCCCGAGGTGGTGGCCTCGGACTCGTAGGGGCAAATTCCACCTCTCGGGAGAGGTCACAGGCGAGGTCATTCTGGCGCTCCCAGCTCTTCTTCGAGGCTCCTTAAAAAGTTATGGCCGCCCCCTCTGTTCTCGGGGGCAGCCGCGACGCCCGCAGGGGGGGGGGGCGTTCCCTTTACTCCCTGAGCCCCGGGGTGGTGGCCTTGGAATCATAGGGGCAAATTCCACCTCTCACATGTGATGTCATTCTGGCTCCCCCAGCTCTCCTTCGGGGCTCCTTAAAAAGTTATGGCCACCGCCTAGGGTTCCCAAGTACTTACCACAATCCAGCGGGGGAAACATGCTCCCTGGCCGGACCATTCCTCCCTGTAATGCACCATGCTGTCGCCAGGAAGTGACGCTAGGTGACGCTCTGGCAATGGCATAAATTAGTTTGCTCTGGAGCCATCCTTCCTGAGCTAAGACCAGAATGTGTGAGCTGGAAGCTAAAAAAACTGTGAGCTAGCTCACACTAATTCAGCTTAGAGGGAACACTGCTGCCCATATAGGTGTTTTCCCCATTGGGTCTCCCAGTTAATGGAATAGCTTGCCTGAGGAGGTCAGGAAGGCTCCTACTCTCCTGGCTTTCTACAAACTGTGCAAAACTGAATCTTTGAAGAGGGCTTTTCTACAGAGCTAATAGGGTTGGCCTGGATGAATCACAAGTGGGAATTAAGATTGCTGGGGAAAAGATCAACAACCTCAGATATGCAGACGATACCCTCTAATGGCAGAAAGTGAAGAGGACCTAAAGAGCCTCTTGCTCAGGGTAAAAGAGGAGAGCGCAAAAGTGGGCTTGAAGCTCAACATCAAAAAAACTAAGATCATGGCATCCGGTCCCATCACTCCTTGGCAAATAGAAGGGGAAGTCGTGGAAGTAGTGATAGACTTCACGTTCCTGGGATCCCAGATCACCGCAGACTGTGACAGCAGCTATGAAATTAAAAGACGCCTGCTCCTTGGGAGGAAAGCGATGGCGAACCTCAACAGCATGATAAAAAGTAGAGACATCACCCTGCCAACAAAAGTCCGCATGGTCAAAGCAATGGTATTCCCAGTAGTCATGTATGGCTGCGAGAGTTGGACTATAAGGAAGGCCGAGCGCCGAAGAATAGACTATGGTGCTGGAGGAGACTCTTGAGAGTCCCTTGGACTGCAAGAAGATCAAATCAGTCAATCCTAAAAGAAATCAACCCTGTCTGTTCCCTGGAAGGCCAGATAATGAAACTGAAGCTCAAATACTTTGGCCACCAAATGAGAAGGGAGCACTCACTGGAGAAGACCCTGATGCTGGGAAAGATTGAAGGTCAAAGAAGACGGGGACAGCAAAGGATGAGATGGTTAGACAGTGTTATCAATGCAACGAACATGAAATTGAGCCAACTTCAGAGGACGGCGGAAGACAGAAGGGCCTGGCGGGAGCTGGTCCATGGGGTCGCGAAGAGTCAGACTCGACTGTGCGACTGAACAACAACAAATCCAACTTCTGAGTCCAGTGGC